AAATAGAAAAAATTCGCATGATCACACTCGAGCCAGAGCCGCAAGCAGTGGGACAAAGAATGGCAGGAGGGCCTGCTGGAGCTGATGGGTCTATTCTCCAAAAGGGGGTCGGGGGTTGGGGTCCACCTAAAATCCAGTCTGCCTCTTGATCCCATGGGCATAGTTTAGCAAAAAATGAGGATTGGGGGGGGGGAGAGATATTCCACATTCTCCTAGAAACTTGAAATCTTTTCCTTTGTCTGGAAAAGAGAATGAGATGCTAACTTCTCCCAAAGTAAAATAGTCCATCACTTGGTTTTACTTCCCTTGTTTATGCATCTATTTGTATTTACCTCTCCTGCTGTCTGGTGGCTTTATCCCCGTGCCGAGCTGCGGGCCTTATCAGGGCCTTATCAACACAGCGATCACCCACCTGCAGTTCAACGACCTTTGTAGGCTCGGGCAGGAATGAGACTGGGTGCCTCCTGGGGCTGTTTACTGCCCAGCCCTCCTGGCTCCCAGCCGCGGGCAGTCCTCTGGGTCCCCAAGGGGTAATGACACTGGTTGGCGTTGGAGACTGAACTTGCCCGCTGACACCTCCTCAATCAACTATGAATGGTCTGGGACCTGGCCCTGGTTTTCTTCCTCCCCCACACATTTCCGGCCACCCCCACCCCCTGCTGGGTGCAGGCGCTGTCCTAGGCCTGGGGTGGGGGGGGGGGGAGGGGGGTGTCTTTATCTTGAGGATCCTGGCAGGCTGCCTGGATGGAACTGGAGGGGGCTGATGGTTCTCGCAGGGGCACCAGGCTGAAAGGCCTGAGGACCTACCTCTCAGTGATTTGGGTCTAAATGGGGACTCGTCTTTAGTCTGGGTCCCAGGTCAGATTACGTGTGATTCTTAATTAAAAGACCGAGGAACGGTTCAGCAGTGTTTCCCAAAGTGCCAGGGGACTGCGAGGGAGTTTTTAATGTCGATACTTAGATATATTTACTGTAAAGAGATATCATGCCTCTGATGTTATGGATGTTATTGCTCAGAACAAGACTAAGTTTAAAAAGTGACACTGCATGGACAATGTAAGGGATCAATGCAAAGTATAGACAGATGTTGAGTAATTGTGAAATCTACCCAAAGTGTGTGTGTGTTTGCAGGTTGTAAATTATAAAGGTATAAAAAGTATAGATGTAAATCTATATAAAGTACATATACTTAGTATATACACTTAATGTATTTAACGTATACATAACATTATAAATGTTACGGTACAGCATAGGAAATGTAGTCAGTAATATTGTAATTATGGTGCCAGATGAATGCTAGATCACTTTGTAAGTTATGTTAAAGATAAATCACTGTTGTACACCTGAAAACTAATATATTGTGTGCCAACTGCAATTGAAAAATAAATAAAATAAAATGAAATGATAAAAATGCTACAAATGTATATTGAAATGCAATAAGCGTAAATCTCTATATAAAAATAGGTACTTGAAGTACCTTTGTATTTCATATCCTACTTGATAGCCTTTAGCCACACGCACACACAGGATCGACCGATGGAGAGCGGGAAGGGGTGCCCCCCGGAGCTCACGGTTGTCTGTTTTCTCCGCAGCCTCAGTTCTCGCCCGAGGACTGTGCTTTCGAGGAGGAGATCCGCCCGGACGGCTACAACGTGTACCGGTCCCAGAAGCACCAGCTGCCCGTCTCGCTGAGCAGTGCCCGGCAGAGGCAGCTGTTCAAGGCCCGGGGCTTCCTGCCGCTGTCCCACTTCCTGCCCATGCTGCCCAGCAGCCCCGCGGGACCCGTGCCCCGAGAGCGCCCCTCGGAGCCGGACGAGTTCTCTTCGCCCCTGGAAACAGACAGCATGGACCCTTTTGGGATTGCCAACAACCTGAGGCTGGTGAGAAGTCCCAGCTTTCAGGAATAACCGAGGCTCCCGCCTCCTCCCAGGCCAGGAGCCGCGGCCTGTGGTGCCTGCAGAGTGGCCTTGGCCGTGCGCCTACAAGTACGCCCTGGGCCCATGTTCTATTTAGCTCTAGGAAGAAACATGTAGAACTTGTACATAGACAGTTTGACATTGGCTGTGCCTATTCTAGGGGATAGATTTGTATGATCATAAATTTGCAAGTCCTTCACCCACCCCCTCCCCCTCCACCTCCCAGGTGCTATCCCAGCTCCCTACCCTGAATTTGGTCATTGCTTTCCATGCAGTTCAGTTCTACTTGAATACCGCCACTGACGGGGAAACTCATTATCTTTGGGGAAGTTCTGAAGCCAGGCTGAGGTTCTCTGCAGATTCCACCATCACCTCCGGCAGGGACAGCTAGGAGAAAAGTGCAGGTGGTCAGCTCTGACTGGCAGTGGAAGTGACTCACGAGAGAATTGGTCCAGGTCTCAACGGCAAGCCCCTCAGGACAGAATTGACGGGGTGCAGGGGTGGCCCAGCAGGCTTCCGGAGCAGGGGGACCCCGGGACTCCCCTCCAGCAGGGGAGAACTTGAGAGCTCCCCACACTGGCTGGTTCTGGATGGAGAACCTGCCAGCCCACTTGGCGCTTCACCTGCTTCCCCTGGCCCTCCCTGCACGCAGCCAGAGCACTTGCTCAGGTTCCCCCCTAAGACTGGCCATTCTGCCACCTGCTCTGTGGCACAGTCCCCTCCGCCCTTCCGTGCCACAGTGACGAGTTTCATCTGATTTGATCAGGGAATGAGTGGGTTTCACATGAGGGCCTTTGAGAGGGACCCTCCCCTTTCCTCAGCTGTTTCCCCTCCTCCTCCCCAGTTCGCCCATCACGTTGGGGCTCTGGCTCCTACCTGAGTGCTGTGGATATTGGCCTAAAAAAGAGCAGGCGCCAAAAGCTGCTTCCATTTCCTGGCCCTTTTGCCCCGGCACCGGCACCGAGTCACTCCGAATGGGGACTGGGCAGCTTCCAACCTTAGGTGAACCCCACGGTTCATTTGGAGGCCCCAGACCTGGCCAGTAACTCGTGAAAGCAGCGACGACGTTGAGTTTTCCCAGCACTTAGCTGCCAACGTGATATTTATGACTAATTTATTTTGTTTGATAGGCACATCTCTTTATTTTCCTACTGTATTTATACCCCCAAATTGTATTTATGTGTACACACGAATTTGGGGTTTGGTTTTTTTTTTTTTTTTACAGTAAACCCGGAGTTTGTATCAAGCGGTGCGTTGTTACGGACCTGAGTGTTGGAGGAGGGAGGCGAAGGGGAGGCGACGCCGTGTTTTTGCTGCGTCCAGTACTCTGCACTGCCTTCTGCAAGCTTTCTTTTTCAACTGCAGTTGCTATTTGATATTTTATATCGGGCCCTGACCAGTGTGGCTCAGTCGGTTGGAGCGTGATCCTTGTGCACCGAAGGATCACCGGTTCGATTCCCCCAGACACCCCGCGTTTCGGGTTCAATCCCTGGCCGGAGTTTGTACGGGAGGCAACCGACTGATGTTCCTCACGTCCATGTTTTTCTCCCCGTCTCCCTCTCTCCAAAGGCAATACAAACATATTTTTAAAGAGAAAACTTAAATATTTTATATTGGTTTCAGGTGCACAGCATAGCTAGACATTGAATTTCTGAAATGATTCCCCTGATCAGTCTAGTGCCCACCTGGCACCGTACATAGTTATTACAATACGATCGACTGCATTTGCTGTGCTGTGCTCTACAGCCCTGCGATTGTTCTAGAACTGGCCATTGGTACTTCTAAATCCCATCCCCTTTTCCACCCAGCCCCGCAGCAACCTCCCCTCCCCCTCGCCCCCGCCCCATCTGGCAACCATCAGTTTGCTCTTCGTATCTGTGATATGAGTAAGAGTCTGTTTCTGCATTGTTTGTTCATTTATTGTGTTCTTTAGATTCCACATATAAGTGAAACATACGGTATTTGTCTTTGTCTGACTTATTTCACTCAGCGCCCCATCTAGATCCACCCATGTTGTTGCAGATGGCAAGATTTCACTCTTTTTATGGCTGAGTAATATTCTGTTGTATATATGTACCACCTCTTCTTTATCCGCTCATCCGTCAATTAGATAACGCAAGTTGGGTTGCTTCCCCTAAGCCTCTGGTTGCTTGCACCACCACTCAAAGCTGAGGGGGGGCGGGTTAACCAGCTAGTGGGGGAGGCACTGCCCTGCCTCCACTCCTCTTGGGAAGTTGGCCTTGCCCCCTGGCTGCGTCTCCCTCCCCTGCCCTAGGTACTGTGGTCAAGTTTAGCAAACATAACATGCCCCTTTACATTTGAATTTCAAATAAGCAATGCATGTTTTTTTTAGTGTAAATATTTCCCATGCGATTTTTGAGACCTACTAAAAAAAAAATTACCCACTGTTCATCTGAAATTCAAATTGAGCTGGTGTCCCGTGTTTGCTCCAGCAGCCCTAGCTTTAGGGCCACATCATGGGGCCAAGTGATGAGGGAGGGCAGGGCAGCGAGGGGCTCAGCTGCACTCACCTCTAATGAGCTGGGTAGGCAGAGGCTGGGCGGCTGGACCGTGGCTGGCGAGCAGTCTGGGGCGGTCAGTCCCAGGACTGGCTTTGACAATTGCCCCTCAGGAGCCGGCCCAGGGCCTCAGTGAGTCATGTTGGTGAAATCCATCTCTGAGGCCTGTTTTAAGAGTTACAAGTGATAACCTAAGGAAAGGGTCTGACTCACAGTGAGTCCTTATCATTAGTACGGAGCGAGTGGGGAAATGGAGGTTCAAGAGAAGAATGTTCTAGCAGCTGTGGAAGGGCAGCAAGGAGTGGATGGCCAGAGCAGAGATCGGATGGCGGCCGGGCAGGAGCCAATCCAAAGCACAGTGGCGCTCCCGGGTGACACGGGTGCTGGCTCTGGCAGGAGGTGGCTCTGGGCATGGTCCCACCTGGCCCCGGTGCTCGGGCTCATCCCATGGTTGATCAGCT